CGCGCTGAAAGGTTTATTTGGGCGGGGAGGCCCCGGGCTACCTCGGGTTCGGTGGTCACTAAAATGTCCCAGGGTCGCCCAAGAGGGAGGGAGAAACAGGTGGCGTTTAACGACGCCGTGGAACTGCCTGGCCCTTAGGCGGGCCCCTTGCGAGGCACCGGGAGTGGGTGGTTTGCGAAGGGGGGATGGAGGTGGCGGCAGCTTGAACGAACCGGCCAGGCATACGGAACCGGCCGGGCTCACTGAACGAACCAGCTGGGCATATGGAACTGGCCGGGCTCACTGAACGAACCGGCCGGGCGTATGGAGCCAGCCGGGCTCTCTCTCCTGAACCCCGGGCAGGCTCAGCCCCCTGACTCGCCGTGCCGTGGATCCGCTCGGCTGCAGCCAGACCGTGCGTAGGAAGCGCTGCTAGGTTTGGGCACCCTCCTACCAGTAACCACAGCTCCCGGTGGGCTGTGAGGCTCCCACAGCCCTATTCCATAAGGATCCTTTGACTGTGACTCATATATATGTGCATGCGTGCATTTATTTGGTTCCTTAAGCGTTATGCGCAAGCTTCTTTATATTTACGTGTTTCTTACCGTCTTAATTATTTCGCTCGTGTTTTGGTGGTGTGCGCAAGGTCTGGCTGTTAACAGCAACGTGTGTTCAGATCGTGCTGCGTAGAGATGCTTTGGTTCTTCTGTGCCCCATGGTTGTCCCACAGGCGTGCTGGTCCTTGGATGGATGACTCGTTAGTCCACGCGCTCTCTCCCTCCCCCGTACTTCGCTTGCATAGCTACAGTAATTAGCCGTGGTGTTCTTCTGGCCTGCAGAGCCGGGAGGCGATGGGTAAAATGCTGAGGCAACCCAGGGCAGGAGCTTGTCCGGGAAACTTGAGTTCCTTCTTACTCCATCCAGCCTTTCGCCTCTGCCCCGCTCTGGAAGCTGACGGGTTGGTTTTTCTGTTTCTTAATGTTTTGTTTGAGGGATTTCTTAACATCTGATTAAAAAGCCCCCTGCGCTAAGTTGTTGAAAGCTCTGTCTGAGCCACTGTAAGGTCGGGTTTCTTCGTTTAAGGTCATGTTTTTGGTATGGGTGACTTGAGCTCATAGAAAGGGTGAAGTTCAATCTCCGAGTAATTTCAAAGATAAGGTGTTGCTAGAGAGGCATTCTGTGCACCCTTCGAAGATGGTGTGAGATTTCTCCCCTAATCCCCGACTTTTCTGCTGACATTCTGCCGGTGCCAACGGCTCCGTCTCAAAGCGGTGCTTTCCCGCTGCATCCGGCTGCTCTGCTCTCGGCCAGGATGAAGCCGTGCGGGTCCTCGCGCTGGCGCTGCCCCTCTGCGAGGCTCTCGTCCAGGGAGCAGCACTTGCCCCTCGGTCCAGGTTTCTGCAGTAGGATTTTCCGATGATTCTGATTGCTGGCTCCGCTGGAGTTTTCCCTGGGGCTCCCCTTTTTTTTTTTTTTTTTTTCCCCCCTCCTCTTTTTTTTCTTTTTTCTTTCTCTTTTTCTTTCCCCTGCAGATCTGTGCACTTAGTCCTGAGTCCCTTTGCCCGAGAGGTTGCTTCTTCTAGCCTTTCTGAGATATATTTCTGAAAACGTGAGCTTTTGAGCATTTTTTAGGAAGCGGCAGTTCCTGCTCTCCGGGTGTGCTGTGCGAGGAGGGGTCAGGCAGGTCCCCTCTGAGCCGCTTGCTCTGCGCCCCGGGCGATGGAGGACGAGCTGCTCACCCCCTGTAAATCCCGGTGCTAGCACAGAAGGATTTCTAGGGGTTGCGTCCAGAGGGAAGGTGGTTTGCCAGAGCCATGCGAGCGCCCTAAAAACGGTCTGTGGAATATTTAGTAATTTGGCGTGCTGGCTGGGGCGGTTGGTGAGTACTGCCCGGAGGGAGGCAGCGAGGGTCGCGTGTCTCGGTCTGTGCCGGTGTGTGCTCGTGTGTGCCTGCACAGGCTGGTGAGGAACGTTTCCCCTTCCTTTGGTTTGGGTTACAATGGTAAGCAAGCGGCACAGCGCGCACGCCACCTGATCGAGTCTCTGTGGCTTTGCCGCTGTATTTGTGAAAACGTGCCCTTCGCTTGCGAACCGTGCAGCCGGCCCTTTGGAACGCCGCCTTCTCAGGATCGAAGAAGAAACGGACCCTTTGTGTCTCTTCCTTTTTTCTTTTTTTCTTATGGTGCCCTGTTAGAGCAATTTGCTTGTCTGAAGTTAGTATTTCTGGTGAGTACAAGCGTCCAGGATCAAGGGCAGAGAGCGGTGTGCCTCTTGCCATCGGGGATTACCAGAATTTAATCTTTCTGTGCAAAGGCAGCTAATCTCAGGCATGCAAACAGGGTTTACTTAACTGCGCGCCAGCGCTTAAAGGCACTGATGTATGAAATCCCTTGCAAATTCAGATGTACTTGCTGCTAATCGCTTCTCCACCTGCTCGTCCACCTCCGTCCCCCACATCCCGGAATCCGCCTATGGGTGTCAGTCACTGCAGACTGATGGTGACACGTGTGGCCACCGGTTGCCAGCCCCAGCCGGTGCTCGCGATGCCTGGGCTGTCGCTGCGGTGGTAGTTTCACCGTCACTGGGACCCCGCTTTCCTTCGGCGCTGGGCGCGGG